GAAAGGAAGGCGGCGGTGCGGGGGGGGGGGGGGGCATTTCAAAGAGCCGCCCTTGTCAAAGGGTCTTAGCCTTAGTCTTCTTCAACCAGACGGGCCTTCACGGTTAACGGTTCTCTGAATTTTGTGAAGCGTAAGAAAGGTGGAATAAAGGGCAAAACAAGACCCAGAGGAGAAGGCCCGGCTCGGCTCAGCTCTTCGGGAGGCAGCAGAAGACGACTTGGGGACTTTTTCAGCAGAGGCTCTGGGGCTGCAGGAAGACTCCCAGGTCTGATAGGTTCACAGTAGACTGTCCCGTAGTTCTGACGGTTGGGTTTCTTCAGCTGGCCCCTGCGCATCACTTTTATCGCACGGGGGAGGCCTGAAGTCGCTGTGTGGGACCACTTCCCCACACGACTACCGGAATGTGCGACACAGCTGAGGAAGGGCAGTAATTATATCACACCGCACTGTGCATAACGGCCAGCGTGGCATAGCAGTTAGATTCTGATTTGAATTGTTTTATGATGATTTTACCGGATTTTAATGGTTATTTATATACTACGTACAATGTTTTATCGAATGTAAGCTGCCCTGAGCCTGTGTTGCAGGGAGGGCAGGGAAGTTGAAAAATAAATAAATAAATAGACTCTTGGACTAGGATCGGAGAAATCCAGGTTTGAATCCCTGCTCAGCTATGGACGCTTGCCGGGTGACCTTGAGCCAGTCACACACTGTCAGCCTGACCTACCTCACAAGGCTGCTGTGAGGATAAAATGGAGGAAAGGAGAATGATGTAAGCCACTTTGGATCCCACTGGTGAGAAAGGCGGGGTACAAGTGAGTTCAATCAATTAATCACTCAATCAATAAATCTTTCCCCCTGGAATCTGTCTCAGGGGCGGGACGGGGACACACACACACACACACACACACCCCGAGCAAGGGGCCCCGCCTTCCGCGGTAGCTCCTACCCTCTCTCATAGGTGAAGTAATTGCGCAAGAATTTGGCTGCGCTCTCCCCAATGAACACGGAAGGGATAGTGATGCGTTTGCGGAGTTCCTCTAGAGGAAACAAGAACGAGACAGAGTTTGCGGGTCAGGAAGGCACGGAAAGGGTGGGTGGATGCTGCCGCCCAGTGGAGTCTGGGAGAGAAAGGGCCCCCCTCCCCCCCTCACTGACCGTCATCCCAGACCATGTGGAGCAGGTCGTCAGAACCCACATTGTGCACAATGGCGGCCGCGTACCCAGCCTGCTGGGCGTGGTACACCTGCGGGGAGGGAGGAGGCATTAGAGGGAGGGGGAGCACGGCAGGACCCAGGCTGTGCGCGCGTGGGGGTGGGGGAGGGCTCAGAGTCCAGCTGACGAGCCAGGGCTGCCCACCGGGCTCTGATCCAGACTCCGGATCCCAGCGCCCTCACAGTGCCCTGGCACAAACACCACCCTTCCAGGTCAACCCACCTTGGCATCAAAGTGGCAGTCGTATCTCCGGATGAGGGCAATGAAGCCGCTTGTGTTGGATGCCTCCGGAGGGGCCTCGACGGGCTGGCAGGCGTTGGCGGGCTTCACTTCCACCAGAAGGCCCTGGAGGCAAGGCAGGGGAGAGGCTCAGCCCGGGAGGCCCCAGGAATCTCCAGGGCCAGACCTGCACACACACACACCCCCACGGAGGAGTGAGGAGACCGGGGGTGGGTGGGTGGTTCCTAATCTGAACAAAATTATTTCCAATATTCTGGAGCAGGCAGAAGCCTTCTGATTTGGCAGACGTGGCACCTTACTATCTCATTATATCATTTTGGGCAGTAACAGGCGGGGGGGGCAGTGAAAGAGTTATACCAATCCAAAGGTTTACAGGAGAAAGCCTTTGCTTGTACCTACTTGAAGCAAAGCAGACGGCCGGAAGGTTTCCACCTGGCCAGGCCTGCTAGCCGAGGCCTCCCCCACCCACTGGGAAGACCGAAGGCCAGCTGCTGTGTCGTGTGACCAGAATGGTCTCTGCCTCTCCTCCAAAAGCCTGCAAAAGGCTGCTCTCCCATATGACAAGACAAGTGTGGACAATCACTTCCCGATCAGAGAACAAATGTAGAGAAAACAGTCGTGAGAGTCTGACCCACAGATCAAGCAGTCAACAAGTCTTCCAGAGAAGATACTTTCTGTATATTATGGTCAACAAGCACGACAACACCATAAACACATTCCTTCACATCATAAGAAAATCCTGGTGTGAAAATACATCCTCAACGTCGTCATCTCCGGATTATATCACAGGCGCCTGGGATCCATTAGAGGTTTAGTGGCATATCTGAGCCTGAATACTTATTGAGATCAGCGTCCGATCCAAATGTATTATCTTTCCTGATTTTTTGTAAAGCACTTTGTGAGCAAGAGAGCTTTTGTACTGTTCTAATATTTCCTGAGGAGGATCCAATTTTGAAACAATGTTATATAATCCGGAGACGACGACGTTGAGGATGTATTTTCACACCAGGATTTTCTTATGATGTGAAGGAATGTGTTTATGGTGTTGTCGTGCTTGTTGACCATAATATACGGAAAACATCCTCTGCAAGTCTTGCTGACCGCTTGATCTGTGGGTCAGAGTCTCACGACTGTTCTCTTCACATCTGTTCTTCCATGAGAGACACTGGGGAAACCGGGTGAAAGACAGCCACTTTCATTCACTAGCGGGGATAGGAGAAGAAAGGAGGTGAAGTAACGTGCCCCAAAACTCTTTCAAGACCACACCCAGCTTTTGCTGGGCACTCTCCAGCTAGAAGGTTTCAGGTCCGAACTCTTGGGCGCAGGGTTCGTTGCCAGGCTCCTGGTTTCGAGGGAAGGCTGGCCTCCCCACACTCTCAGGACCGCCATCGTGTCAAGGGGAGCGCCTCTTGGAAACAACGGACCCTTCCCCCGTTTCCCTCAGAAAGTGGGCTTCGAGACAGCTACGGTCTCTTCTTGCAGCATCCACCACGCTAGCCTGGTTTTTTCACGGGCTCCCGAGACATCCAAAGTCTCCTGAGAAAGAACGACCAGCCTTCCCCCCTGAAAGCACAAACCCTCTCCCCAGACATGCACCAATTTAGCCAGCTGGCACTCAAAGTCGACTCCGAGACCTGGACAGCCTCCCAAGACAGGTTCTCATGACAACACACAGACCAACCAACCGACACCCACCCCCCACAAGCATACAGGGGATTGGCGAGGGACAGGAAGGGGTGGGACTTCTGCCTACCTGTCCCACCCAGACGTAGAAAAATCTCCTCCTCCCCATTTTGCAAGAGGTAACCAATTCCAGCTATCTGGGTATAGCTGATTACGGCCTCTGAACCACGTTCAGTGCCTAAAGCCCAGCCTAAATCCTCTCTGCAGGGGAAGCCGAGGCCCCAGACGGGCTAAGCTCTGGAATGGGACGCCATCAACATGCAGATGACGGCAGCCCAGCTCGGCATGTCCTTATCCAGGCCTCCAGATGCGTTCAGCTTGGTTCTGAACCGGTGCCTGGAGGCTGTGGTCACATGGCCAAGGCAGGACAAGATGAATCCAGACAAGAAAGAGGTAAAACTGGCTGGGAGGGCCGATGTTTTTAGAGGGATTGGGTGGAATGGAGTTGGATTTTGAGGAGCAGGTAAGAGCTCGGAGGTGCTCAAGGACCTGGCCGTGGTGTTTGAATAGCAGGTTAGCAGAGTGGCCGAGCGCGCCTTCTATCCCGCTGCCTTTGGTTTGCCAACACTCTCCTTCCTTAGGCCCAGCCGACCTGGCCATGCCGATCCCCGCTTTTATACCTTCACGGCTGGACTACTGCAACACGCTCTTCATTGGGCTGCCCTTGAAGGGAACCCAGAAACGGCCCCCGGCTCAGAATACGGCAGCCCCGTGACTGCCAGCAGGGGCCAGGCAATGGGAACATCTCTCGCCTGCGGCACTGGCTGACAGTTTGTGTCCAAGTCCAATTCCAGGTGCTGGCTCTGACCACTGAGGTCCCTTGTGGCCTGGGACCCCACATATCTAAAGGACCCTTCCCCCACTAAGCCCCCGTGGGCCTACTCTGACCTGCCGGCTGCCCCCTACTACTTGTTTCCCGGCTCAAAGTGGCCCCGCGGCATCCTCCACTGCGGCCACAGCAGACCCCTGAGAAGGTGAGCGGACCTCCATTGCCGGAAGCTCCAACAGGTGCTGCAGGCTCCTTTAGGGGAAGGGGGTGGGTATTGTATTCTGGGTGGTTTAAATTTAGAATTGCAAGCTGCCTTGGACTAGAAGGCAAAGGCGGGGCTATGCACATTCTGATACCTCACTAACCCTCCAGCAGGCCAACTCAGACCTACTTTTAGTCCCCCTTGTACCTGCTCGAAAGCCCTTCCTGCTCAGAGGAGGCGCCCCCGTGTGGAGAGAGCAGAGGCCTCCAAGAGCCCAGCACCCTCCCTTCTCCGTGGCCACATACAAAGGCATGTTTGGCCAGCCGCACCCAAATGCTTCCTCGGGCGGCCGCAGGCGGGAGCAGCCCGTGAACCAGGCCCAAGAGTGCCGATCCTGTGGACAGGAGGGGTTTTCTTGCACACAAGGAGGTCCATTGCTGCGGAAGCTGCATCAGATTAGATTTCAGCCGGCAGGGGGTTGTGCCTTTGTGGCGGAAGAGCCTCCGCTGGGCCTGCGGAAGGTCCCGGGTTCAATCCCCGGCGGCATCCCCAGTTCAAGGACCAGGCGGGGGCTGATGGGAGAGACCTTTTCTCTGCCTCCTGAGACCCTGGAGAGCCGCTGGCAGCCTGCGCAGACGAGACGGACCTCGATAAGCAAGCGGTCGGATGGAGCGGCAGGCAGCGGCACGGGTTCACCGGTGCACCAGAGGCTGGGCTCAGCGACCAGAGGCCCTCCCCGCCGCGCAGGCCGCCCTGCCTTCCAGGGGCTTCTCTGGGAGGGGATGGGGCCTGCGGCACCCAGGCTGGCGAGGCGACACTTACGGCGTGGATGTAGCCCTTTGTGGCCGGGAGCCCCAGGAGCAGGCAGACCAGCTGGGCGAGAGCCGCCACGGGACGAGGGCCCGGAGGGTGCACCATCGCGGCTGCTGGGCGAGATCGCGGCAGGAGGCTCCTAGGCGGAAGGCGCAGAAGAGGGGAGTCAGGGGAGGCTGTGCCAGGCATCCCACGCCAGGGGGAGGGGGCAGCTAGGAGGCACAGCGGCAGGGCACCCCCCCCTCCCCTGCAAGAAACCACGGCTGACTGTCGCAGATTCAATGGGGGGGGGAGCCTCCAGCCTACAGAGACTCCCCCCCCCAGCTTTTCTCTTTTTTAGAAGGGGACCACAAGCCCTAACCAACAGGTCACGAGAGGGAGGGCAGGAAGGGTTGCCTCCAATGCTCCCTCTAAGCTGTGGAGTCTTGTGAGCAAAAATTGTACTTTGTGAGCTCCTGGCATTAAAGTTGTGAGCGAGCGATTTGGCTCCTGCATACATTAGTTTGCTCTCTAGAGCCCCCCTTCCTGAGCAAAGACAAAAATGTGTGAGCCAGAGGCTAGAAAACTGTGAGCTAGCTCACACTAACTCATCTTAGAGGGAACACTGGTTGCCTCAGGGCTTAGTTCTCGTGGCCCTTTCTTACACGCCCAGGGAAAAGCCGATCGCCACGTTGGGGTCAGGAAGCAATTGTTCCCCAGGCCAGTTTGGCTGGAGATTCTGGAGGGTTTTGTGTCATCTTCTGGGTGTGGAACAGGGGTCACTGCAGGAGTCGAGGGGGAGGCATTTGTGACCTTCCTGCATTATGCAGGGGGTTGGACTAGATGACCCTGGAGGTCCCGTCCAACTCTTATGGTTCTGTGAACCCAGCCAGCCACACGCAAAACCAGCCTGGTTAAAAAAGGGCAAATGAAAGGTAAGAGAATGAAGTCTGAGTCCAGTGGCACCTTTCAGACTAACAAAGTTTAATTCTGGGGGGTAGAAGCTTTCAAAGGTGCCCGGCTGGAGTCAAACTTTGTTCTGTTGCTTCACACCCCCACGGCGACCCCACCTGAATCGAAAGATCAGAGAGTGCTGGAAAGCCCCTCCCATGCCGGTAAGATCTGTTCACTAAACGGGGTGGGGGGGCCCTGCTGAGGCAAACAGCAATCACACGAGCAAGGCCCTCGGAGACTCGGGGAAGGGGTCCCCAAAGAGCGTGGAGTCCCAAAGCAGAGCCCCTCTGGCGGGGGGCGGGGGGGCAGGGACGTTGCCCGGCGGGGGCTCCTCCTCCTCAGCACAAGCTCCGCATGGGAACTGGCACCTCGTGCCCCTCGCTCTGGCGGGAGTCTTCTCTGCCTGTGTCCAGAGGCACAAACAGGCACAGGGTCATCATATGATCCCTCCCGGGATGGGGTCTGTGCAGAGGGCTGATTTCCATGCAGCCGAACAACACAGCTCCTCGCAGCCGCCATGTCCACTGGCCGAGCTGGGGCCCGTCGCCGTCTTGCAGCTCAGCCTACACTGCAGGGCCGTTGTGAGGGATAAAATGGAAGCGGGGAGGACCCCACATGTGCTGCCCTGAGACTCTTGGGGGACGTGCAAGATAGAAATGGGACACCTCCTTCGTGGCAAGAAGCAGCCCTCTCCACACGCTCAGAGGCCTACTCTGAGGCAGGCTCGAGCCCCCCCTCACGGCATGGAAGCTTGCTGGGTGCCCTTGGGCCACCCAGGGCCTCTCAGCCGAGCCTACCCCACAAGGTTGCTATGAGGTTAAACTGGAGGAGAGGACACTGATGCGAGCAGCTGCAGGGGAGAAAGGCGGGGGGTATCAATGAATTAAACAGCGATAAAATATACTGGCTATCGTTGGGCATGGGACATGAAGTCCAGGCCGAGGCACAGTCACATCCCAGGGTTCGGGGGCAGTGGATTCTGGGGGAAGAGGACAGAGGGGGCCTGG